TTTTTATATTTATTTAAACTGGCTTGAGATATTGATTGTAAATCACGAGCTGGTATATAATATATTTTTGAAGAATCATTAGAAATACAAATTATATCTTTTGTTGATTTAGCCCATTGATAAGATAAAGTCCATAATTCTAAAGATATTGTTGGTTCAGTAGCAAATATTTTTCCATTGATTGATGTGATATCTCGTTCAATGGACCAATTATTGACAATATTCGAAGCTATTGTCAAAAATCTTGATAAAATATGACGTTCTCTGAATGTTCCATCATCTTTAATTGTTCTGTTGGTTGCTTCTAAAGCGTTGTTTGTGCTTGGTGTATAAACTTGTATACCTTCATACCAACCATCATTTGTTTTGAGCCATTCATTGTGAAAATAATTCATAAAATCTAATATTGATTCATTTTTTTGTTTGTTGTTCATATTCCATTTCTTTATAAATAATGTTGATGCTAATTTGAATACTTCTGTAGAATTAGATAACTGGAGCATTTCAATATCTTCTATAATTTCTTTTGCAATATGTTTGTCATCTATTTGACATACACGATTATTAACTTTTCTTTTCATGTGCGCCCAACACATTATTTGATTATAGGAAGAACCGAATATATTTGTAAAACCATTTTTAATCGCACCAGCAGCATCAGATATCAATGCTGTTGGTTTTAGTAAATCTTTATTTATTTTTTGCATACCAACTTGAATACTATTGAAGATAAATTCAAAATCTTTAGTTTTTTCATTTGAACATACTGCTAAACCAAATGGATGAAATGCTTTGTTAAAATCAGTAGTACCAACGATTAAAACAGGAAAACCTTGCCAAACTAATTTATATGTAGCATCAGCATGAAAATGTGACGACATTGATGCAATGTTGAGCAAACGAACAGATGATATAAATATACGGAGTTTATTTCCATCTTCTTCGATATCTTCATCATCTTCATATTCTTCATTATCATATAATATTTTGTATGATGCAACAAAAGCTTTATTTTCATCAATTGGTACTTCTACATTACCTTCACACCATTGTTCCAATTCACCTAAGCTTATTTTATGTAAACCATATTTCTTTTTTTTGTATTGGACAAGGTAATTTTTAATCTGTATTAATGTTGGCATTTTCATTTTTCTTGTTTGAAGTGCTCGAATAATTTGCTTTGACTTCATAATACCATCATTATATAATTCTTCAATGCACTTTTTAACATTTTCATCAATACCACGAACTTTTTCATCATGATGATCGTGTTCACCTTCAGTTTTATAAACAGTCACTTGATCACTGTCTGCATGATATAACAGATGAATACTTGCACTACATTGAGGTCCACGAAGTTTAGCTTTGTTGCATCTGTAGTAAACTCTTCGTCCATGATCTGTATAATTTGTATACTGTTTTGACCAGATATTTTCAACTGATTCTTCTGCTTCCTCAGCATTATCAAATGTAGCTTCTTTAACCCAATGCTTAGATCTTTTCTTCTTCTTGACTTTTTTATTTTGATTTAAATCATTATTTTCTTCGACAACTTCATCCGATAAATCACTTTCATATTGTGCAACCTGTACCATTTCCATCTTTTTTACTTGTTTACACAGCTGATGATGAGAGATAGGTGGAAACAATGAGTATGCATATATCGTCATGTATGTCGTACTTGTTATATGTACGACATAGTCGAAGAACAAAAAAAAAAAAAAAAGGTAAAAAATGAATCATACTATAGCACATTTGAATTTCTACACTCATCTTTTTATTTAATTTACTGTTAAATAATTATATTTACTGATTCTCAAATTTATTTACAAATCTTATTAATTAATAACTGATCATTGAAATATTTTACTGATCAATCATTCGATTTACTGATTTTATAATATTCTAATGTACTGATCATTTCATCCATTTTACTGATCACTTAAATCGTAGCCAAAGATTTTAAGCCTTCATGTCTCGCAAAACCGTGTCCGTGAAGTTAGTGAATGTCATTAGATTTTAAATCCTGGCGAACTCAGAGTCATGAAGTCAAGTGGAGTCCTCTAGTGATGAAAGGGTTTTGTGTATTGAAGTTAAAGTCTTTAAGGCGGTCTGACTTCTGGTGTCCGTATTGCTGTCAAACGTAGAATGTTGATGTCATCTGGAGTCCTGGGGTCTTTAGTTTCATTACCGTTTAAGTGTAGTTTTCATGTTCTTGTTTTTTTTTGTGGACCTTTTATCGGATTAGTTGGAGAAACTATATATATCCTGCGAAGTGAAGAAATAAATATCTACCGTGTTTTTTCAGAATGCTTCTAAGATATTTTACTTTGTTTATGTGTTCAAACAGATGATTCATAAAAACGTCAACTTATTTTTGAAACTATACTTCATGGCATTCTCTACAATAGGTGAACGCAAAAATCCTTGTGACTTGTGCTAATAGATTTGTAGAGAGCTGACAGGAAAGGTGTGTGGGAGTCTATAGTGTTTCACTGTCCAGAATTTGTTTTTTTCCCCAGCTAAACAATAATCATATTTCGCAGATGTTTCATTCTTTCCGACTATTTTCGAACATCAAGATGCCCACTTTATCGAGATGATGGCACGCAGAAATGAGTTTCTGTCCATTTGATTTGATTTAGATAGCAAATGTATTTTTTTAAAGGGTTTATATCGATACCAAAGTGAGAAACTACAATATCTAGTACATCTTTTCTTTTAGCTCTTTCCAAATCTATCAACACAAGCAAAGAGAATCTTTTATTTTGACTACTGTACAGCATATCAGGACGTATGTTTTGAAAAAAATTTAGATTTTATCATTTACGTTTGTGGAGATATGGAAAATAATGATGTTGCAAACATTTGGAGACACCCGGTATTTGCTTTATATTCTCTCGCAAATACAGATTTCTTCATATTTTCCATCGTTCCTCTCCTATCACTCTTCTATATAAGTCGGATGAAAGGATCCTCAAACGGCCGAAACTTGCACTATTTTCGTTGCAATCTGTTAACAAGGACCATAATACTTGCACTTGAACGAAACATTAGTGAATGAAGTAGGGAAAAAACGACATTCTTTGAATGATCTGACGATTTAGAGCAGCTCTTGGATCCTCTCAGGAAAATTTATCATAATCCATTCAAGTTTTTAAGTGCTGAATGATGCAGCAACGAGCCGAGATTTTCTCGGGAACAAAATACTTTTTTGAATTCTCAGAATTTTAATGGTTTTACACAACAATTCCACATAAATTGAATAAGGTGTATGTCATACATGCCGAGCAATTTCTAAATCTCTAAAATAACGATGGGCACATGAGAATCAAAAAGAAGATGTCCGAAAGCTATTTTGGTGATTCAGAATGCTAGATAGGTTTTCGAAACTTTCTTTTGAAAACGCAAGGGTTTTATCAAGATTCGAAAACCCTTCAGGGTTTCCAAGATATGTTCGAAAACCATGCTTGATTTCTTGGAAACGCTTCCACCGTTTTCGGTATTCGGAAATCCAAAAAGGTATTCGATAAAAAAATATCGGAAACGCAAAGGTTTTCGAAAAGGTTTCTAAATCAAAAGCGGTTTTCGAAAGTAGCAGTAGGGTTTCTAAGAGTACGGTTGAGAGTTTCCGGCCTATCTTTCGAAAACCCATAGGTTTCAAGATACTCGGAAACTCAGAAGGCATTTTTAAAAACTTAACATGAGTCCGGAAACCTTTCCGGATACCTTCACCGGTTTTCGAAAGGGTTTCCAAAGGGGTCTCGGTTTTTGAGAAAACGTTTTTTTTTAGAGTGTAGGTGAGTGCGAACCTGGATGTTGGGTATGGAGTGTGGGGTGCGGGTTGTGGGTGTTATTCTTCTTTAATCACACGCACACCTCACAGGGTGGATGTGGGTGAGTGCGGACCTGGATGTTAGGTATGGGGTGTGGGGTGCGGGTTGAAGGTGTTATTCTTCTTTAATCACACGCACACCTCACAGGGTGGGTGTGGGTGTGGATGTGGGTGGGTGTGGATGTGGGTGGGTGTGGGTGTGGGTATGGGTGTGAGTATAGGTGTGGGTATGGGTGTGGGTGTGGGTATCATTTCCCGCCTTACGCACATTCCACACCCACCCAGTCACCCACACCCTTTTTTGTGATACAGACAAACTTTATAAATACTGTTCAAAGGTATTACTTTTGACTGAAATACAAAAAAGCAATCATTTTCCGATTTCCACAAAATCACTACGCAGTGTTTCTCTTTTAATACTTCAGTTTCTTGCGTTTTTTTTGTCATTTAGATGGGTCAGACCGTGCGCTATCATTTCAATGCATTTGTTTTGATATTTCCTTATAAAAAGAAGCCTAATGATGTAAAGTTTGGTGATCATGAAGATCTTAAGATCGATTCACTTCTTCCAGTTCGTTACACATCGTTCGAAAATATGAAGCGATTTCATGAGCTTTGTGATCACCAGACTTTACATCATTAGCCTTCGTTTTATAAGAACACATCAAAACAAATGCATAGAAACGATAGCGTACCACCTGATCCATCTAAATGCCAAAAAAGAAAACGCAGGAAACTGAATTATTATAAGTGAAACACTACGTAGTGATATTTTTGTAAATTAGAAAATGACTACTTTTTTGTATTTCAGTCAAAAGTAATAATTTTGAACGATATTTTATGAAATTTGTCTGTATCAAAAAGAACTTCATAGTGGTACCTATCATTTGAAAAAAAAATTAGTTGATTAGCTTTGCTAAATAGTGAAGTTATACAGATTTACTTTTCCGGCGGACTTTTGAGATACCTTGTATATAGAAATGCAATTCTACATAAAGTAATCATATTATGGCAAAAAAAGCTGAGTCTAATAAATAAACATTGGTTTCTATGTTTTTTAAGTCTCATTATCATGATGATTTCGTAGCAAAAAAAAGAAAAACAAATTGATGATATATCAAAAAGCAGTTAGTATTCATCGTTGTTTCAATTATGTTGATGTTGTTCAATTTGTTTCATAATTTTGATTATCATTCGATACTAATGGTGTTGTATCTAAGTCATTTGATTCAATAAGTTCATCATCTATAGTTTTTTCAAGCACTAATTCTTGATTTTTTCGTTCATTTCGATGTCGCTCAACATTATTTCGAAAACCTTTTAAACCTATTCGACTTAAATAAATTGTACGTTGACGTTGTACTGTTGTTGTTATGGGATGATAATCTTTTGGACGATCTTTTTTTATATCAATTGGTGCATCAGCTTCAGTACTTGTTATTGGTACATGAAGTGTACCAAGAAAATATTTTGTAAGACCATCAAGTATATCAACACAATGCATATGATCATGTTCACATATTGGTAAATCTAAACCAACAAGTACTAAGTGATTTGGCTTAGGAATACGTAATGGTGGTTCAAGATTATCAACAAAATCTGATAATTGATCATATCGTATAAATTGTGAACCTGATGGATCTAAATGTTGCCATTTTTCATAATACATATCATAATCATCATCAGTTAAGCCCTAAACAAAATAAAAATAAAAAATAAAAAAAAAACATTTTTTTTTCATCGACTATACTTGCTGAACATCTTCTTGTGCCTGAGAAAAATTTTCTAAGATAACGGCAATATACATATTTATCTAAATGATAATAAGAAATCAGAAAATTTTCCCATAGAAATTTTTGAAATTCTTACCACAACAAGAGAAGTAATTATAACATAACTTACAAGAAATGGTGTTGCAATAGCCGTATTACCACAATCACCTTTATGTGATGGTGTATTTATTGTTGGATCACAATCTGGTGGTTGATCATTAGTTAATGCTTGAAAAACACCAGACCAGCCGGCAGTTGTACACATTTGAAAAAGTACAATTATTGAATTAGGAAATGTTTCAAAATTAAATAAATCTGTTATGCCAGCTGTTTTTCTTACATAACCAAAAAATGACATACCAAATATCGAATAGATAAATATGATAAGAAAAAGAAGAAGACCAATATTAAATAAAGCAGGCAATGAAACAGCTAACGCAAAAAGTAATGTTCGAATACCTTTTGCTCCTGTATAAAAACAAAACAAACTTTCAAAAGTCTATGATTCATTCGTTTCTATTAAATCAAACCTTTGACAAGACGTAATATTCTTCCAACACGCGCAACACGAACAACACGTAATAATGTTGGATTAACAAAATATTTTGCCATAACTTCTCCTAATGTTTGTCCTAGAAAGAAAAAAACAATAACAATAACGAGAAATAATATGTTTAACATAAATGTATTGAACATCGACATACCAAGAATTGATGCAATTACAATGATAAAATCAAATACATTCCATGGAATAGTAAAATATTTAAAATTTAATGCAATTAATTTCATAATACATTCAATAGTAAATCTAAATTAGTACCAAATATATATACGATAGAATCAATAGCCGATTTCTTGAATCTTAAAGATTATAGGTTTTTGGATATGAATAATTTACAAATTTTTGTTACTATTCAGATTTTAGTTGTATTTAATCCATAATTTTTGTTTTTGACTAGTTCCTAACGTGACTCACGATTATCACAGTCACGACTGTGACCATGACCAATATATTTCTAAAATTCGTGTAGTTTTTTCACAGCAGAAATTATTTCATATTCTTAACTTATCGAGACAATTTACTTTATATTTTCTCAATCAAAATAGTTATACATAGATATTATAGAAGAAATTAGAATTCAGGAAATTTTCCTAAATTCGAATTTATCCTGCAATGCAAATATTACAGCAAGAATACAATCTAATAAAAGCACATATTTTATTACAAATACTGTCAAACGAAAACATACTTAAATGTTACTATTCTATCGAATTGAATCGATTTAATTAATAAAAATAGTTCTCTTCTTCTTTTATTAATAATTTCATCAATTTTATTTGTTTCTTTTTTCTTGATTCCAATTTCGTCATAATAAGCATTGTTCAAGAAAAGAGATTGCAACTCACGACCAAGTAGAAACAAATGACCGTAATCAAAAAATTTTACGAGAAGATATATGATCAGCATGCAGGACCATAGTATCCTTTGGAGTGCGACTAGGTAAGCACCCAATCTACCTTTGAGAAACGAATACAAAATGATCAAATACATTATATATTAGAGCACAAAATTAATGAAACCTTTAAAATGATCCATATTTAAACTACTTAGTGAGAGTTTTTATAATTGGCTCGGCACCTAACTGAACTGTGACATTCTACTGCTTCAAATTTATGCATGTGGAAAACTTTTTTGCACCTTGATAGTTTAATAGTTTATGAGAATTGTTTTTTATCTAGAAAAAAAAACCGACGGAAATCGATCGTTTGAGCCTATTTTGTTCAAAAAAAAATTATATTACAGTACAAAATGTACAGTGATGCTTTTTCTACAGATATTTCCAGTCGAATCTAGTTGAAAATATTCTTTCAAAAATACAATTTCAATCAGTAACATGTAGTGAAACAATCGATGTATTGTAGTAGTGGCTAAATTGTACGCTTAATATTCTGTAATCTGTGAGAAAACTTTTGCTTGAATAACATAAACTAAGATTACAATAAGATGTATTTCTTTGGAATTGTTTAGATCTATTTTAATTGATTCATAAAAAAATTGTAACAAAAAGTTATAATTTATTCATATGCACAGTATAGAAGAAGACTTGTATGAAAATTTTCCTTAAAATGCAAGAGTTTCTAATATAATCTGAAGAAAGCTGTAGTTAAAGCTCGTCAAGTCCAAGAATTTCTGGATTCGGACCTGACTCGGACCCCATCGATAGATTTTTTTTGGGCCTGAACCCTACCCAGACCTGATTGGGTTCGAAACCAATCCGACGGGCTTCTAGCTTTAGTCCACACTGATTCACACTCATTCTTCTAACAAATTGCGCACTTATTATTGATTATTTGCTTACATTGCAACGAACAAATGATTAATATAGTCAAGAACAAGATCATAAGTATGACTTTGATTATAATGTTCAAGACACATACAAACCATATTAAAAAAAATACATATCATTATAAAAATATCAAATTTTTGATTTGTTGTTAAATCAAAAAGAAATCTTCCAAGAGCAAACTGAAATAAACAGATAATTAATATATATATATATATTCGTTGGTTTGAAAAATTTACTCTTGGCCTTGGTAATGCTTTAGTCGGTTTTTTATTACCCATTTTTTTCATAGCATTATAATACTTTTTTTGATCTTCTGTCATAAACATTTCTAGTGAACCATCAGCTCCTAACTAAAAAAATAAAAACAATATTTTACTATTTTTTGTTATCTAATAAAATTAATAAGAAAACTTAACATTCGTTTTTGTTGATTGAAATTATCAATAACAACACCAATAAATAAATTGAGAGTAAAAAATGAACCAAATATTATAAACATAACAAAATAAATAAGAATATAAATATTAGTTTCATATTCTGGTTGAATATCTATCTAAAAAATTGTATTATAAATAAAGCATATAGTGAACGAAAAAAAAATTAATAGAAATAGTTATATACTTCTTTAGCATCAGTTGCATCAGCCATTATTTCAATCCAACCTTTGAAAGTTGCCTATTTGAATAAAACAAAAACAAAATTTTAATTATTGTCAGAACAACTATGTAAATATTCACAAATTCGACTGTTAACGTAATCATTGTGGGATTCAAATGTGAAACACAATTAACAATGTACGTAGTCAATTTTAGTTTCGATCTCGGTCACGGTGATCGAGGATCAAGACTACGAGAAAAAAATTCATCCGACTATAGTTTAGTATTTTATGGATTTTACACGAACTATCTTACAAATCACATTAATCAGAACAAAATTCAACAGAGATAGCCTAAAATGTACCAGTCGTCGACTAAACAAATAAAAACAAAAAATATTGAATAATGTTTTTAAATGTGATATGAATAAATTTTAGAAAAGTTCTTTTTCTAGATCGGAATCGGACACCATAGAAACATGACCCTACAATAAGGAAGTACTTCATATGATATAACGAAAAGCAAGCTGCGGATCTTTTCAGATCCAAACCCAGATCCACGAAAATTACAAGGTACAAAGCGAGAAATATTGCTAACATGTCTGTCACTGTTTATGAGAAGGGATCTAAAATGTTATCCCTATACTGCAAAACTTCTTTTAGATCGTATTTTACAAAAATAGTTACTTATACACATGAAGACAAACATTTTTTATAATTTAGTTAAATTTATTAAACAATAAAAATCTTTCATATTTTTAAAAGTCATTTATTTATGTGTTGTATATTAAATGAAAATAATTCTATAGATCTTATTTAAACAAATTTTAAAGAAATAATTTATATAACTCATTAGTTATACTTTTCAAGATATATAATAAATATATTCTATTTTTTGAAAATATCTTATTAAATCATATATATATAATAACTTACAACTTGAAATAAAGCTAAATAACCATTAAGAACATTATCAAAATTAACTCGTGAATTTTCCCATGTAAAATTTTTATTTAAACAATCATTTTTATTTGTTATATTTTCTGATTTATTAATACGATCATGTGTACCAATATAAACACATTTATAAAATTTTCCACCAAATAATTGTACACCCATTATTGAAAATATTAACCAAAATACAAGACAAACAAGTAAAACATTAAAAATTGCTGGTATAGCACCAATTAATGCATTAACAACAACCTATTTAAAAATAAATAAGAAAAAAAAAACATAATTAAATAAAATTATTTATCATACACGAATTCCTTCAAATCTTGATAATGCTTTTAATGGACGTAAAGCTCTTAATGTTCTCATAGATTTAAATGCTGGAATATCAGCTATACCAAATATATCAAGACTAACACCAAGAATACTAACAATTACAATAATAAAATCTAACCAATTCCAACCATTTGTAAAATAATTTATTATTCCATATGCAAACCATTTTAATATTAATTCTATAGTAAAAATAATTGTAAATATTTTATCAAATATATCTAAAATTTGAGTAAATTTTGGTTGTTGTCGTGTATTTACATCTTCTAAAGCCTTTTTATATAAAGTTAAAAAAACATTTTTTTTGTTTTAGTCTATTATCAACTTACTAAAGTTGTACTACTAGCTAATATACTAGCAATAATAAACCATTCAAAAAAACGATGTTCAACAAAACGATGAACTAGACTACGAAGATATATCCATTGTTCTTGAATAATTTTTGGAATACATTTAGTACAACAAGAAAAATATTTTGATATCATATTAGGACAACAATCTGGTGGCGTATGAAGTATTTGCCATGTTGGATGTGATATTATAGAATTATTATTCATTGGTTGCATTTCAATATCTTCATGTATTATTGATAAATCATTATTTAAAGGTACTGATACATAAAATTCTTCTATTTGATATAATCTTGGTAAAGGAAGATTACCAATAAATTCTTGTGTATTAGAAAATGACTAAAGAAAGAAAATGAAATTAAATAAAATAATAAATAAATGATTTAATAAAATTGGATTATAAGTTACAGTTTCATTGATATTATTATTATCGATATATGTCTTTTGTTTTTGTTGTTGATTTTTTCGATGAAATAAACGAATTATAAAATTAATTATAAAATGAAAAAATCGTTGAATACGATCAATTGCTTCTCCAATTTTATTTTCTTCATCTTCTTTTTCAGTTAAAACATTTGAACCAAATGATGCAAGTAAAAGTGCCAAAAATAAATTTAATATCTATCATATTAATATAGAAAATTCGAAAATATTCTCTAAAATTTCTTTATAAAATTGATTTCAATGAAAAGCTAAGAAAGAAAACATTCTTCATATGAGTCACCCAACGAAAATGATGATCGACAGTGCTCAATCGATATCTTTCGATTTGATTTATTTAAACATATATATATATATAATAGAGACCATACTTACAATCTGAAGGAATAGAGATCTGAAATTTTTGTCATAAGTACATCTGAATGATATTTATAAAATCGAGATTTAATAAGGGTTTGGAACTAAAACTCAATTTTGCTGAAAATATTCTTGACAAACGCTTTTATCAAGTAAATTAAAATTATCATTATGAAGTAAATATTATTGAGATGTGTTTGTGAAAAAAATATATCAAATCTTTATTTCTTCAGGTTGTAAGTTTTATCTCTATTGTGTATACCTCTTGATGATGGTTTTAAAAGAATCGATTTAACTACAAAAATAAAATACTAGTCTCATCTGTATGCTAATAGTAAGGATAGAAGAACCAGACGCCTTACACTTTATATGAAGTACTTTGATCAATATTCAAAGAAAAAAGAGAATAGAGTGAACTGAAAAGTTTCTTTGTTTTTCCCTTCGACAATGATAGTTTTGAATAGATAAGAGGACTACCTTTTTTTTGAAGACGAATTTTTAATCACTAAGTAATATATATAATCATTAATGATATTTTATTACTAGTAAACATTTTCATTTTGTTTTCAATAATGGTTTTGTCAACGTCTATACCACAGTAAGGTATTCTCTATTTGTTGCACACTAATTTTTTCTATGTATAGATTACTTACAACCATATTACCAATAATAAATGTTAATAGAAAAAATGGAATACATGACCATCCAGCACATTCAAGACATACCCACATTGATTCAATCCATTCACCACATAAGACACGAAAAACAATCCTTTTAAAGAGAAAAATTTCGTTTTTTTTTTCTTTATTTATTTAAACTTATTAAGTAAAACTTACATAAAAGCATGAAAAAAATCAAAAAAATTCCATCTTGGCATATCTTTACCAAATTTATTTGCATATTTATGACCAAATAACTATAAATCATCAAGAATATATTTATTTAAAATTTTATTCATATTTTACCTGCATTCCCACAACAGCAAAAATAAATATTATTATAATAAGAACTAATGTTAAATTTCCTAAAGCTCCTATTGATTTACCAATAATTGACATTAAACGATTCAATGTTTGCCAGGATTTAGCCAATTTAAATACACGTAACTTAATAAAATATAAAAAACAAAAAATAAGAATTCTATTATATATAATTACTTACTAATCGAAATGAACGTAAAACACTTAGACCTTTTACATTAGCAAGACCTAATTCAATAAGACTAACTGAAACAATTATTAAATCAAATGTATTCCATCCATTTTTTAAATATTTAGCTGGTGTCATTGCAATTATTTTTAATATACATTCAATTGTAAATATACTTGTAAAAACATAATTGCCTGCTGTTAAAATTCGTGTCATTTTTTCACTTTGACCAGGTTGATCAAGTGCCATAAATAATGTATTTAATACAATACATATTGTAATAAACAAATCAACAAATGCATCTAATATAATGAAAGCAACAGTTGTCTATAAAAAAAAAAAGTAGATAACTATTTTATGAATTTTTTATAAATAGGAAGTATCTACAGTGCTGGCCAAAATTATAAGAACAAGGTATTTTTGATTTTTTTTCTACTGTACTACACACTTATCTCAAACTCAAATGGTAATTTGGATAGACAATCAGGAGCTCTCTCAGAGACATCATAGACCATATTCTTATAGATGGATTAAGGACGAAAAAGTCCTAAACAAACAACAAGTCTCAGAAACATTCATCAGAGTCATTTTTCAAAAGCGCTATCTTATAGAACACACAATTCTGAGTAAAATAAAGGGTAGCCGCGTTTTCTACGACCTTCCCTTGCAAAGTTATAAGCATTAGAAAAAATAAAAAAATATCAAATTTTGCAAAAAAATTACTGAAAAACGGCAAAAAAGTGCAATTTTTCATTTTTTGTGAGGCTTATAACTTTACAAGGGAAGGTTGTAGAAAACGCGACTATCCTTTATTTTACTCAGAATTTTGTGTTGTATAAGATAGCGCTTTTGAAAAAGGTCAATTTTTGTTTTTATAGGACTTTTTCACCCTTAATCCATCTATAAGACTATGGTCTATGATGCCTCTGAGAGAGCTCCTGATTGTCTATCCAAATCACCATTTGAGCTTTCGATTTGAAAGTTTACATAGAAATATACCTTAGACAAAATAGTTTATTGTGAGAATTTCAGATGTTTTTTTTGTCGCTACTATTTCGAACTATGGTTATAATAAAAACATATCTAAAACATTACTCTTATAAACTAACGGATTCAATGTTCTTATTCATGTATAGAGACACATCAAAAGATCTAAAACATACATATTTCTAAAGGCATCATAATATTGAGTTTTAAAAAACTTCTGTAAAAATGAAATATTTCCGTAGCAATAAATGTAGAACTGGAATTCTTTTCAGAGTATTCATCACTAATTAATCATCACATGATGATATATACATAGTTCTGATTCAAAAACGATTAATCAATTGAAGAATTTTCCACATAAGATAAAGATGTCTCGTATTAATATTTGATAACAAATTTGTTATACTGATACTTATAAATCAATATTCGAGTACTTTGTACTATATCAAAATCTATTCTATTCTAGTGAAACCATTTAAGTACTCTTATGTGCTGTTGACATAAGCTATCAATTGAAACACTTCATATGTTTTTATACTGCTAAACCGAGATATTATAATTTAATAAAACATACTTGAAATTTTTGAAATATCGGCGATTGACAATTCCATTCCCAACAATAAATTTGTAGAAATTTAATTAATGCTTGACTACACTTATTGGGTGTATCCGTATCTACAATGACGATTTTCATGTCTTTAATAATGATTCTGTAGTTATTATTCATGCACATGTATAGTTAATTGAAAATCACGTTCGACAAATTAACTATTCTAGATAATCAATTAAAAGCGGATATATACAAAAACTATAAACATGCTTAAATAATAAATAACAAAAATCATACGTGCATTTTTCTATTTTATATTGATTTAAAAAGTGAGGATTAAGAGTGAAAGGACACAAAACAAATAAAGATCTTCTTAAACAAAATGTGGAAAAAAATGGATCGATATATGTACATTTTATTAGATATATTAGAATATGACTTACTTTTTGATCGAATACTTATTCTATTCAATAGTTGAGTAGGTAGTATTTCTATAGGTGAAACACATTTTATTTGAGGTTTATCTTGATAAAGCTTTAAGATAAATATAAAAATAAAAGAATAAAAATTTATTTTTATTTTACTATAATAGTTGAATCATTATTATTTTGATTTTCTTCTGATAAATATGAAAAACCACTTATTCGTTGATTTTTTCTATCTTCATTTGTTATATTTTGCTGTTGTTGTTGTGTTTCATCAAAAACAGGTTTTGTTATAATATCGTTTGTTGTTGCATTAGCCAAGATACTATTTGACTTTTCAAATTGAAATGTTGATGATGACTATAAATTTTATTTTATTTTCGAAAACAACAAAAAAAAAAATTTTAATTTAAATTATTTTACTTTTCTATCTTGTTCATATTCGACAGGAATATTCTCAGCATATGAAATTTTACAATTTGAATCTTTCAAACATAATACATTTTCAATATTATGTTGATCTTCATCAATATGTAAAGGTGTATGAGCTTCGACTATTTTTTGTATTTCAATTTCATCTTCAATTCTACGTCGTTCACGTTCTTCATTTTCAATTTCAACTTGTTTTTGTTGTTGTTGATAAGACATTGAAACAATAGCTAAGATTAAATTAATCAAATAAAATGAACCAAAAAATATAACAGCAACAAAATATAAAAAATGATAACGACCAGCTGTTGATAGTATCTAGATAAAAATATAATAAATAATAATATATAGAATTTATTTTTATTTTATTTACTAATTGATAAAGATTTTCCCAATAATCTTGTGTCATTAATCGAAAACATGCAAGCATAGCCCAACCATAATTATCAAAACTGTATCAAGAAAAATTCATATGAAAAAAAAAAATTAAATAAAATCTACCTTGTATATCCAAAATCAGGACTACAAAAAAAAACATAACAAAAATATTTTGTTAAAAATTAATAATTAAAAATTTACTTCATGCCTCGATCTTTCCAACAAATATAATCTGAAGGACATTTTGTACTTCCACTTGCATTTCCACAAAGAAGAAAAATATCATTTTCTTTATACCAATTAACTGTAAAAAGTAAAAAAAATTCAAAAAATTGAAATTCTCAAAATATGAATCTATTAAGAATTTCTATATTTCAATGAAATAGAATGGTATATGTTATTTTGTAATTATTCATCAAGAAATATTGATTATTTTCTGTATTTAGGGTATAACTATCCAATCAGTTTGTTTTTCAACAAAACATTTTCTTCTATGAAATCAAAAGTGCTAAAGATAATCATAGATTACTTTTGAGATATTCATTAATGTGATAAATAATTATTAACTAATCTCATCTTAATTGAGAAACTTTTTCTACTAATAGATTAATGAAAAAAAACCGGTCGTGCGAAATGAGCCAAACATGCTAACCAGAAAATTGTGGTTCACTTCATATAGCGAAAATGGATCAATCAAAATGCGAGCCGTTACTTTACCGTCATCCAACCGTTTTCCCAAAACAGAACAATAATACTCACAACCCGGAAGTGTCATTCCCAACACAGAACAAACGTACTCATCTACCCGGAAGTGTTATTCCCATAACGAAACAAAGGTACTCAGTACCCGGAAATTCTATTCCCAAAACAGAACAATGATACTCACTACCCGGAAGTGTCATTCTCATAACAGAACAAAAGTACTCACTACCCGGAAGTGTCATTCCCATAACAGAACAAAAGCACTTCCGGGTAGTGAGTACTTTTGTTCTGTTATGGGAACGACACTTTCGAGTAGTGAGTACTTTTGTTCGGTTTTGGAAATAATACTTCCGGGTTGTAAGTATCATTGTTGTGTTTTGGTAATAGCATTTCCGGGTAGTGGGTACCTTTGTTCTGTTATGGGAATGATACTTCAGGGTAGCGATTACTTTTGTTCTGTTTTGGGAATAGCACTTTTGAGTTGTGAGTAGTATTGTTCTGTTGTGGGAAAGATACTTCCGGTGCTAGAGTACTATATATTTATAGTGGGTATAGTATGGACTAATGGACTTCACTTTGGCTCACGCCAACTTTGGCTCACTTCATACGACCAAAAAAACCAAATTTTTCTTCGTCTGATCGTAATAAAGAATTTTTTTAAACCTACTTTCATTATCAATTTCTTTCAGATAGATTGCATATGTCATATTAAATTTAATACTAGAAATATTAGAATTATTTAGAAAAGATTCATAAGTTGGCACACATTTTTGTCGAAGAACACCCATATAAAGTTGTAAGCCAATCTATAATTAAAAGAATAATTTATTCAATACTTTTCTTTTTTTTTTTGCTCTAAATTTCATACCAAAGCAAATATAGAAAGAATAAAACTTGATAAAACAGATACATCTCGTAGAGAAATAAAAGATTGTACTAAAGCATTAACAATTGTTTTTAAACCTATGACAATCAATTAATTAACAATTTTTTTTTTCAAATATTAAACAATATACCAGGTACAACTGCAACAGTTTTTAATGCTCTTAATACACGAAATGTTCGTAGTACTGCAACATTTCCCAAATCAATAAAAAATGTTACATATCTAAGGAAAAAAAAACCTTCAAAATAAAATATTTCTCATATTTTTAATACATACGCAAGAGTAATTACAATAAAATCTAACCAATTCCATGGATCACGTAAAAATGTATATTTTTGTAGAATAAATCCTCGTGCAATACATTTTGTTAATGCTTCAAGTGTGTAAATTACTGTAAAAACATATCTATTTATTTCAAATAAAAACACATAATATTATTAAGAAGAAAATAAAATAATATCATATACTCATTCATTTCTGGTGGATTTTTAAGTGTCATAAATACACAATTAGTTAAAATAGTAAGCATAACTAATGTACTAAAAAGTGAATGTGTTAATATACGTATAGCTAAACGTCGAAAATAATTAAATGGAGAAAATATAAAACAAGCTGATGTTGCACTAAATCGAAATATTGTATTATTTCGATTAATAACCACAAATACCTACGATTTTAAAAATATTTAAAAAAATTATTTTTTTTTTTAAAGAAATGAAGTTATCAAAATAATTATGCATACATAATCTGTACGATAATAAGAATCGATTTCTTCAATAGGTATTCCAATAAGTTCAGGTGGGAATCTATATTGTAAAATTAGTGGTAATGTTTCTCCAACGGCCAATTCTTTATTAGGAATTTGTTTAGGATCAATTGATTCATCTTTTGATGACTTATTCATATGATGATGTTCACTTATTGTTTGTTGTTCTAATTGTTTAGAAGCAATACGTTCACTTTCTTCTTGTCGATAATGTTCAATACGTCGAAGTGATTCATGTGTAAATTTGCGAAAGATAATCGATTTGTAGTCCATTCTGATTATTAATACTTAGACCTATTCATACATATGTTATTGGACCATATAATTCGCTTTATGATCCGTTTAGGAAACGTTAATGAAATAATAAGAAGCTGTGGCTGAGAGAAATCCAACATATGGCTATGTCTCAAATAAAACCATAATATACTGATAAATATAATCTTTTCTCTATGTTCAAGCCTATTTATCCGAAACTATACCTTGTAATATATATATAATTTTTTAAAAAATTACCCGTCTAACTAACCTTTAATATTTTAGGTTGTGATGTGAGGTCGCTACGCACTCCTCGGAGAGTCGCGATCCATATTCGTCTTTGTATACACAGTAAAGTATATCCTTTTTATTTATATGTTTTTATACTACTGAAAAAGATGTATAGATGCAGACGTATAGAAAGGAGTATAGAATAGGACGTATAAAATGATACAGAAAATAGGCTGTACAACAAGATATATACAATAGGAAGTACAAAAGGATATATAAAAAAAACATCAAGAGGAGCTATAGAAAAGATATAAATCTAAGTAGGTCAGGAAAGATTGGAAATTTGTTTTTATTGTTTTCGACCGAAATGACAAACCAGATGGGCTCTAATAATTAGATATATGTATCAGCAATATATTAACTTTGAACCTCAAATTTTTGACCAGTTTTTTGCATATCTTGACTCAACAAACGATAAGTATAATATAAGATCAATATTTATGGCATAAGTTACACTTCGAGATATGCATTGCAATTTAAAATTTTATAGTTACATCTCATTAAAGTTTCATTGATTTTAATCGATTAATAAAGTTTTTTTTCCATCTGTTTTTTTTTTACATTGGTTATGAAGTTCGACTAATAGATTGATGATAATCTAAGAACAAGATCTTGACTAAAACAAAAAATTCTCTGAAAGTCTAGCATAGTATCACTGTAAAATTTTTTCTACGAAAAATTTCATCTAATGTTTTCGTTGATTCAAACATTTATGCAATGAAGAGCGAGTATATATACAAAAGAGTACAAAGCAAAAAGACAAAATAAAATTTTTGAAATACTGACATAACATTACTCGATTTAATTGGTTTGAGCATGTCAAGAGTTGAATTCATCAATAGAAATTCGTTGATCTTGTGTCGAATACATTGTTACTATCAATCTATTTGTCTAATCATGTTGAAAAACTATTTTGAAAGAAAAAAAGATAAGTAAGCTGGATTAAAGTTTTTTGAATGCACGAGATTTATCATTAAAAAAAAATGTTCTCATAAATCATCAAACATTGCTAAAATTTACTCAATCAATTCGATTGAATGAACAAACAAAGAATAGATCTACTATATCTGTTCATGACTAGAGAGAATACATTTATCTTAACTTATCGATTTATCTGAAAGTATAGAAGAAAATATACATTATTTATGCAATAACATTTTTCTATTTCTTTCTGTGCTAATACATATTATTGTTATGTAAACTATGTCAAGATAATCGATCGACCGAGATTAATGCCTTCCTAACAGTCTGTATCGTTTTATGGTCTCATTCGTTAATTTAAGAGATAATCAGATTAATCTCATTTATTAAGTCTCAAATGTCATGAAAAAAAAA